TGTCAATTCAGATTCTTTGTCAAATATACACTAATGAATCAATTTACATCAGCAGCCTAACAACTGTCTTGACTCATCAGTAATGTTTGTAGCGTGAGTGCATTTTTAAAACAATTTGTGCAAACTGCACTACAAGGTGGAATTGCTCCTTTCCCTCATTCTCTTAGATATATATATATTCCTATAAAGGTGTTTAAGAGGTCTCTTCTGTCCTTTTGCATATATCTAATCGTGCCCTGCACAAATTGCCTGTAAAATATGTTAAGAGTTTGTTCTGAATGTGCCTTTTTTTTTTCTTTTTTTTTTTTTAAAGCTCCTTGTGTGGCCTCCAAGCCAGTCCAGTCTTGCACCATGTGGAGCAGCCTTATCTCCCACCTGAAGTCTACTGTGACCGTGAAGCGCAGACGAGTCCTCTTGAAATCCCACAGTGACTGTTTCCTTGGCTCAGAGGGTGTGGATGTACTGGCAGAATACATTGTTAAAGCGAAGGGCTTTGAGGGTGTGTGTTGGTTTGTAGATGCTGTTTTATTCCCATAGCTTCACCTTCTAGAGATCATTTTATTTATGATATTCGGCCCTTCTATTTGATTAAATTTAAGGTGCCGTCATGTCTCGGGACAAAGTGGTGTGTGTGTGCCAGGCGCTGTTGGAGTGCGGCGTGTTTGAGGCGGTGGGAACCAAAGTGCTGGGAAAAGACAAGAAACAGGATGCGTTTCATGACAGCAAGAGCGCTCTTTACAGGTTGGATACATGAAACGAACTGTTTAAAAAAAAAAAAAAAAAAAAAAATTCTACCTGTGATGGCATTCCCTAAACATTTCATATAAACATGCAGGTTTGTAGACACATCTACTCCTTCAATAGATGAGTTGGAAAAAGGTGTGCTTGTGAATGGGATCCAAAAGTTCTTCACCTGCGCTCCTTCAGACAGGTATCACCTCTAAAATATTTATTTATCTGTATTACAGGCACACTGCATATAAAACATCTAACCAAAGGTAGCATCAAGTCAAAATGTATCTCATGTATGAATATTTTATGAA